TGGCTCACATTCAGTGGTGCACCTCGTTTTCGACACCGGTATGCTTCTATAACTTTCATAATTTGATGATTACGCTCAGCGCACTGCGCAAATCGTTTGACCATCACCGTTGGCTAAATTAACCTCAATGGTTTTCACCTCCTCGAGGAGGTATGACATGTCGCGCCGCAGCGACCTCACTCTACCGAACAGACGAGTAAATACTGAGTCTCAGTTTATTTTTTTGCTGATCATACCATGGCACGTCGCCCCTCCGCCTATTCTACGCTAAGTCTCGCTGACAAGCAGACGATATGCTGCAAAGCTGCTGCTGAGCCATGGTGGGCAGTAACAAAAGTTTCTACATGGTCATCCACAAGCTTCCACCAAATACAATTGCCGCCTTGCAACCGATGGATCAAGGGATCATCAAGAGCGTCAAGGATCATTACCGGACAACAAAGCAAGAAGCGGAGCTGGAATGCTCTATCGGGGCAAAAACTATAAACCAGTCGGTATTTTTACGGCCATGAAGTGGTGCTCAGAAGACTGGTCTGGTGTTTCGACGAAGACGATTAGACACTGCTGGAGTCACAGCGGAATCGTGTCAAAGATGGATCTGCGATTTATACTGAATTAACGTAATAAAACACAGTACACTTGGCCCATCTGCGTTCCAGCATAAATTTTCGCCGTTTGCAGACTCTATATGGTCCAACCTGTCGAAAACGAGGTGCACCACTGTACGTAATGTGATCAAATTAATGTACTGTAACAGGATGTCGATAACGGTGTCTGATGATGACGGCAAACAGGACAACGCGAGCCACGGCGGACTCGGACGAGACGAAGTCGTGAGCCGACCGCCAGCTGCCGTATCCGTTCAGAGCGCCGATGGAGACTCGTACGGTCTGGAAAGGGGTGAACAGACTTCGAGATCTGCGGCGGGGTAGACAGACCACGCAATCTGCAGCAGAGGACGGAGCGGCAGCTCAGACGAATGCCAAAAGATGAACGAAAGACGAACGAAGAACGAGAAACGAGAAACGAAGGCAGTGACGGACGCGTCATTGTATTAGCTGTTACTGGACGAGCGAGACGGCGACGGGTGGAGGCTCACGGCGGCGCGAGCACGAACTACGCCACTACGGGACATTTGTGGGTTCCGGAATGAGCGAGCGTGTTGCCGTGGGGATTCCACGGACGATGGTGTCGACTCGAACGAAGAACGAAGAACGAGTCGGGCGGTGAGAACTACGCAGTTAGCTGCTAGTAGAAGCTCGACATATATTAGTTGTCAATAAATAGGAACAAAGGTTCCGGCTACTTTGCGGTGGCTTGCACGAGTGTTTATAGACATCCTACACATGGAACTGAACGCCAACCAGCACAGCACTGTGGCTGACGACCCGCCGGCAAGCAGGCGTTTCGAAGATTTGTGGCAATACATTAATGAGTGTCATTATGCATTATTCGGGAGCCCTGATGAATATTCACGAGCTACTGTAATACCACGGTACAGGTATAATAATGAGGCAATTTTGAGAAAACATACTGTAGCTCTTTTGGTTGGATGCCGTTGCTGTCAACAGGCTTATTGTAATACCCATTTGGTTGTCATCAAGCTCAGCGTTTTCCGTGAGATTGAGTGATGGAGATACAAAATCGGCATCGGTTCGTTGCAGCAGGCACTGGACGACAATTATAGTGTATTCTGGCTAGTAACAAGCGTAGCCGGGGTGATTTGAAATGGAACTCAAAGTGCAGAGAAACGGACCCCTTGGTATGTTATTTTTCAAAACAACAACCTTCTCTCTGAGAAGAATGACGAAGTACATCATGGAGAAATTCTCCGTCATACTGATATCTCAGCCACAGGCGGAGTCGGGGTTAGATTTACCGTATTTTGAGATCTCATACTTCGTACCCCATATTATTTAAGTTATTGCCCGATTAGAATCCAGGCCATGTCCGAATACGACTAAAAAAAGGTTAACCTTCTGATCAATTTTGTAATTTCATCAGAATTATTATCTGCCAGAGAGGAGGGTCACTACGATGCTGTTGGTTACACGTTCGTCCTGGTCGTCGATATCTTCAAAACATTCCCACCGCTAGAGAAATCTTGGAGCTTCTGGCTCAGACAACGCCGTAGAGGAGCCGAAGATGGCGTAGACCACTAGGGCTATATACAGGCTGTGGTGGCCGGCACGTTCATGATGGTGAAGAGTGATATCTCCTCCAAGGTGAACACTATGGAGACGGTGACACCGGCAACGATGTCAAATTTGAGGTCACGCTGCACGTCGTACTGCTGCGGCCATGGAAGAAGGATGTGACTTACACTTGTTGCAGTGGTTCTTGAAGCGATCACTCGGTCCCGGATTCCCAGATGGCATCCGAGCGTCTTGTTGGTGTGACGGGCGAAAATGCGAGATGTACTGTCAAGCAGGAACTTGACTGCTTTGACAAGCAACTTGTTAAGGTTAGGGCTCGTCATGCCCTCTCCTTTTATTGTGTTCTCTCTGGAAATTAATACTGGAAGAACACGGTACTTGTGACTCTATTTATTATCTTATATCAAAATGACTGGTT